GTTCTCCTTCACCGGCCGCCATTTTGAATTTTACTAAAACATTCTTGTTTCAGCTGCAATTAGCTGATTGATTAAAATGATCGATTCATTTCATCCGATATTACAGACACTTTTAAGACATTTGGTTAAATTCTGAGATGAAGCTTATTTTCAGACTGAACACATTTTAAAGATAAAGCTTTAAAAAAAGTCCATATTTTGAATAGAAATGATAAATTCTATATCTAAATGTTTTACTCTACTGAACAGAAAAGCATCAGTCAGTGTGATTAATAACCAACCTTAATGTGTTTAACCTTCTGAAATAAAACTTCTCAATAAAATCCTAATTATATATGATGAGTATTATATATAATTAACAGATAATCGTATATTTTTTCTACTGAGGCCCTCCAGCCTGAAAAAACAAAACAAAAATAAAGTTGCTGTTATAAATGCTGTAAAAATCTGAGCATAAAGCTTTTTGTTTATTTCATTTATAACAGATAAATGTTTGGTTTTCATCTTATAGTTATTTTTATGATAAACTATTTTATTAGTGGTATCAGATTATAATATAAAATGTTGTCCAGGATAAACTATAGTAGATTGGCTCTGGAGCTAAAAGCATCTCTCTGTCTGCTAAGGTTAGATTTCTATGTTTAAAAATAGAAAAGCTTATAGATTTCCTCCTCCCTGTTTGTGCATCTAGAGCTGCTTTTATAAAACAGCATTTTAACCCCTAACTTTTCTTTTTATCACAGGAAGTGGTTTTTATTTTCCTAAAATAATGAAAAAAAAAACAGTTTTATCATCATGTGAAGGAAACACAGGATTAAGCATAGAATCCAATTAAAACTCGTTGATTTTACATTTTCAGCTCTACTAAACATTAAAAACATTTTTAGGAGAATAAACACAAACATTTACGAAATTAAAACAAATATAAGAGAAAAAGTTGGAAATTAATAAGAAAAAAACAGAAATTTAGAAGAAAAATTTAGCAAAATTTTCTAGATTTAAACTTGTATATTGGCAAAGCAATGCGAGATTAAAACACATAAAGAACATTTAATGATGAATAATCCTCATGGAAGTTTCTAAAGTCAACATGAATGACACCATATAGAAACACAACACATAGAATCTCCTAAATTTACATGTTTCTCATAAATATGCCTGTTTATTCTCGTAGATTTCCTTGTTGTTTCTAACTTTTCATGTTTCTAATCTGGTAAAAAGGCA